TAGGAAAATTATCCAGGTTACTCTCTTGGTTTGTTATTTGTATATCCCTTTTAATTATTAATACATCAGCCAGTTTCTTTTCTGTGTCCAGTGTAGCATATTTTTCCGTATCATTCTTGTAGCCTGTCATTTTTAAATCCACTGTCAGATCAGTCTCAGTCTTGTCCAACAAAACCTGTTTCTCTTCCATAACATCTTTTAAACATAGTCTATCTATAGAGGCCGACACTCTTAAAACTAACTTCTGGGTCCACTGTTCAAAAATATCCTTCAATATGTCCAATGTTAAAATATTTTACTCCATTCTGTATTAGTAAGTCAAGTTTAAGTGTTCTTCTCCTTTAATTGTAATCTTTAGTTCTTTCTAGTTCCCTCTAGTGTCCAACCTTCAAAGTCCCATCCTATGGTGAAAGCAATTAGAAAAGGCAGTATCCTTTTGAAGGCACAAACCGTGTTTTGAGTAAGATGGTTATTCCCTCATCTCCCAAAGCTCTAAACCTGCCAGAGACCACTGTCTTGCGCTCTCCTCACAAGGAGCAGCTGTTTGGAGCACTTGTGGGCAATCTCAAGTTCTCTCCTTGTCCGGAAAGGAATTACAAAGAGCTGATCTACTTGCTGGCTCTTCATTCCACCGCAGTTGTTGTTGGCTCTACTTTTCTTGGAGCTGTCTCTTCAGTTTGCCATTTCTTCCTCCTTCTGACAAATTTTGAATTATGGTGAAATTGCAGAGTTTTTGTTGTTGTTGTTGTAAAGCCAATCTTTCTCTTTATGTCTGCACAAAAACGTGTATTTCTTCCTATTCCTATAGGTTGAAGTATATGAACAGTTTCACTTAAATGCTTGCATTACGTTTTAAGTGGGAAAAATAAAAAAAAACAGTGTGCAAAGCTGAAGTAGAAGCTCAAGAAACTTCCAGGTACCTTATTTAATTTTAATGGATGAAAGCATAACATTATGTTTAGCTGTTCAGTGGATTAAAACTCTGAATCTTTAAAAAACTTCATAGAGGGTTTTCTTTCAGGTCTGCATCTTTCTGAAGATGCTGGCTCAGACAGCTACAGAGAAACGTACAAAAGCCTACATCAACAGCAGCAGTTTTGTAAGCTAGTAGCTCTGTCCTCATTAGCCTATGGTAGAATGACACACAAATGAGCAAGCTCTATGCCTCAGCCTAACTTCATACAGGCCTTAGCCTAATCTAATTAACTTTCTATAAAAATTGTCAACCCTTCTCCACAACCAGCTTAATCAGGAAAACGAGAGAAAATGGGTGGTCCCAATTCATTTCTTCCTCTGTCCAACCCATCCCATGCATGCAATCACCCAAGAAAATACTCTTAAAGGAATGTGACCCTCATCAGAATAAAACAGTTCCTCACCTCTATTTTGCAACTCTGAGTTTTTTTAAACATTATTTTAGTAAGATAAATTAGCACACATTTTCAGAGGATGGCTAAAATGTATTTACTAAGCTTTACTACTAGCGACTGTTTTAACATCCAAACATTTCCTCCAGCAAAAGATCACACAGCTTTTTTAGTGCTTTGTGGGACAGACTGCTGTAGTACTTACCCTCAAAGGGTTTTCATTGAGATAGGGTGGTTCACCTTCAACCATTTCAATAGCCATTATACCCAGAGACCAGATATCCACTTTAGGGCCATAAGCCTTCCGTGTGACCACTTCAGGAGCCATCCAATATGGTGTTCCAACCATTGTACTACGTTTGCTTTGCTCTGGGGTAATCTGAGCACAAAAGCCAAAGTCAGCTGCAGAAAAAAAAGAGGTGGGGAGCAAATATGTCTTAAATATATTACCAAAGTCATCTTTGACATCTTTATCACCCCAATTATCCCTGAACAAAGAGCTATTTTATGCTATTGCTTTTTCTGACACTGAATTTTGAAAAAGACGACCACTGAAAAACTCCAGGTTACTACCAATCACTAGGTTGTAACAACAGACTTACTGTAATATTATGCTTGACCCATTATAAGCACTCAGTATTCATTTTAAGTTAGAAATGTCCCTAATGTTTCACACATCACAGTTAAACACCCCAATTTAAAAAATATATATACCAAAGTTGACTTCATTTGGGCAGGAAATATGGGAATTCTGAAAGAAATTTCCTCTGAAACATATTATTCTTGGTAATCAGACTAAATCAAGCAGAATACTGATTAGCAATCTATAGGGGAAAAAAAAAAGAACCTTATAACATTATGTTTCAGGTGCAAATTGAATAGTGCAACCCAGGACAGATCCTGATGCAACTGATAAGGAACACCACAAAAGGGTAGGAAAGTATAAAAGCAATACACACTCCAACACAATATATTACTTTTTGTTCATTTATGTTTGGGGTGGGATGTCTGTTTTAACCATGACTTGATCTATACATAGGTTGTAAAACAGGATGAAAAGTAGACTTTCATCAATCCAACCTAGAGAGAATAATTATATATTTGAATGATACTGTCTTTGAACAACTCCTATAAATAAAAAGCCAGCACAAAAAGCAGAGAAAAACTCTGCATGCTATCAATCATATAACCAACTTTAGCCCATTAATATTCCGTCTAAAAAAAATGCATGCAAACAGAAGGTTGCAAACAGAAGGTAAAGTACAAATTCCAAGATCTGTACCAGTTTTGTATCTGCAGTTCACCTTTTACACAGTGCTACATTCATAAATAACAATCCCCACCTGCAATATGGTTCAGTCACATTAGAATTGTTACCAGCCACACTTTGGACTAGAAGTCTTGTTTCAGCTGCATCGATATAAAATGCTGAAGATGTTCAAAACTCTATCATTGAAAACACACCCTTCATAACATGAGAACAGGTATAGTCTAATTTTAACACCTCTCTCTTCAATTTAAAAACCTCTAAACCAAAATTTTATAAAATAACTTTTTATTTTTATTTAATTGTATAAAAATAAGACGGACAGATTTTAAAGATAATCCTTTTGCTTATCAATATTACGATGCATATGTTGAATATGCTGAAAGCAAAACCTGTTCAATTTGTACTTCCTTGCTTCTTAAGCATTGGGTCCCATCTTAAACTAGAGAGGGAAGGAAAGATAATGCCACAAACAATATTGGCTGGCTGAATAATTTCATTGTTAGTCTAATCAAGGTTGCCACCTGCTGGCTTAAAAATGAAAACTTAATGGTGTATAGATTAACATTACTTTTATAATATGAAAGCTGGAACTGTCATGTACTTACTCAGCTTAACTGAACCATCCATTCCCAAAAGCACATTGTCACTTTTAATATCCCTGTGAATCACCTGGTTGGCATGCAGGAATTCCAATGCCTGCAAACACTGCATGAAGACAATTGAAGCGTTTATTGGCTAAACAAATTCAAAATTTATATTGGCTAACTGAATGGTCTCAGTAGCTAAACTGGATTTAAGTACAGGTAGTCCTCACTTAACAACCACAACTGGGACCGGCAATTTCATCGCTAGGTGATGCAGTCATTAAATGAAACATCATGTCATTGCACCAGACTTACATCAGTTGCTCTGCAACCGTTAAGGAAATCACCCATGTGATTAAGTAAGACATCACATGACTGTGACTTGCATTTTTACTGCCAGCTTTTCCATTGATTTTGCTTGTTGGAAGCCAGCTGTGAAGCTTGCAAATGGTGATCATGGGACCACAGGATGCTGCAACAGTTGTAAATGCACACCAGTTGCAAAGTACCCAAATCATGATCATGTGACCACGGGGACTCTGCAATGGTCACAACTTCAAATGGTTGCTAAACAGGACAGTTGTTGAGGACTACCTGTATCTCCAGAGCCTTGAAGTACTTCACGTTTACTTAATCAAAGAAAAAAACGTTTCCAAAAATTCTCAGTTAACATCTTAGAAATCAAATTTGAAATGAAACCACAATTCTTTTTACTAGGTATTATCCCAGAACATATCAATAAAAAATACAATATCTGACTCGGAACTTAAACTTAGAGAATACGCAGCAATGGCAAAATTAACACTATATATACATTACAGAAGTTTAACTAAATTTAAGCAAGAATGGCTTCCATGTATAATATACAGTACTGTGCAAAAGTCGTAGGCAGGTGTGAAAAAATGCTGTAAAGTAAGAATGCTTTTAAAAATATATATTGTAATTGTT